AATGACAGGCTTTGCGTCATGGTTTTGAGTTTTTGTGCACGCTTGAGTTTTTACGCGTCCTTGCAAATCGCAAAAATCACACGGTTTCACTGCGGACATTATAATCATAACGCTTAACCAGTATCAAACATATACCATGGTCAGATATGCTACAAATCGACTCTAGCATGTTCCTTACAGCCCAATGTTACTCGGCGATACTGGGGGGAATACCCCCCCCCCTCCTTCCCCGCGCACGCATATAAGTATTGTTTTGGCGGGGGGGGGGGGCGGGATCTTATTCCTCAAGCAAAATTATGGGTCACCACGCTCCTGCCCGGTTGACAATCATTTAATACACTAATCAATAATATGTAGACAGAGGGTGATCAAATCGTGACTTTCCTGTGTAGACGACTTAACAAAGTGCAGAATTAACGATTTAAATGATGTTGAGGTCGAATGTGGTTCCCCGAAAAAACAGACAAAATTATTATCAGAAAACTACACGATTCCAAATATTGAATCAAAGTTCGAAACTATCAATGGGAAGTACTACTTTAACGATTGATACCATGGGGGAAATATAAATTGGTTTGCCGAGAAGTACACAGAAGATATTTAAAGAGACAGGGGCGGATACGGGATTTGTCACGGTTTCAATCTAAAGTTCTGTCGTCCATAGCGATGAATAATTGTTTTAGAGCCTTTTCTAGTGACATTTCGGAGAAAAGGTGCAATTTTAAACATTAAAACAGTGTCTGTTATTTAATTTTATATATTTACGACACCGAGATGTAATAAAAGAAAGATATGAATCTCATGAAGCTTGATAATTACTCAAAACATAATTTTCGGATTAGTAATTTGGATACCATTTCAATTGAAAATGGTAATTCTGATTTTCCTTCTGTTCGGACTGTAAGAAATCGCAGTCTTAAATTTCTCTGCTTTAGCCGGGTCACAACCCCCAGATCCGTGACCATTTCTCGGGGAACAAAGTTTGACGAGGGTTTCTGATAGAAGGGACCCCATTGAAGATATTTATAGTTTGCTACCTCTGAACTCTACGGGCTAACTCCAGGAGAGCCGAAAATCCAAGATGGCGGCCAAAAATGTTCTGAAATTGACATTGACAAACATTTGTTCTTCTATTATAATTATGTTTCTTATATTCCTTATCTGTTGTGCAATAATCACCAAATATACTCTATGTACCTATGTTGGCTATAGCAAGTGATTTGCTTTGCCTTGTAATAAAAACGGGGTTAATCTCGATGTTGCGTTTCTACTGTATTAAAGACACATTGAAAAATAAAAGATTAAAAATGCACACCTTTGCCGCCTCCCTCTGTATCCGCGCCTAGAAGACCACATCACGATTATCAAATATTGATGTTAAATTTAAGAGGTTCCAAACCTTGCCAGATCACAGATGAGTTCAATGGACAACAGATTAACACATTATTTATGTTTATTTATTTAAAGAAGCAACAAATAAAGCCTGATGATGTGTTCCCGATATGTTTAATAAACTAAATTCTAAATAAATAAAATATTTTGGTGTATGCTTGATGGTATGTAGTTTAGATTGTTATGATTTGATTTTATCACGTGACTGACATGACACGGATGCGTGACAGACATTCCATCATTACCCAACTACCAACGTCATGAGTCTCATGACCCTTCTGTATCCGCAACCAGCCGTCATCTTTTATTAAAAGTAAACTCGACCCCTGGAAAAATCCACGGATAAATATTGAAATTGGCCACTGTGCTAGTTTCATTCCGGATATGTGATTTAATGTTGAACAATGTACATGTCAAATGAGTTAGTGGTCTGTGTCCTGTTATTAAACAAGAATGTCTTCACCGGCTAGATGGGTTGTATGTGACATTTTAAATTATGGGATTATGTCGTCTCTAAGGTAGCACGTCATTTCGGTCCCGCGTCATTTCGGACTCAGCACAAACGTCGTTTCGGACTCAGTATGGCGACTTTTCGGACTTACTCGGTGTATATATTAAATATATTGTTAAATGGGTAAATACACAATTTGATGAAGATTATATTGTTTACATAAATTGGTGAAGATTATATTGTTTACATAAATTGATGAAGGCTATATTGTTAAATAGGTAAATACACAAATTGATGAAGATTATATTGTTTGTCGTTTCAGCTGGATGAAGACTTTATTGACAGCAACGCTCCCGGCTTCTACCAGAAGCGGGTTAAAGTAGGGGAAAGGCGACATCACATCTTTGCCACTGAAGATCAACTGCGACTTTTGGCAAAGGCTAAAACGTGGTACATGGACGCCACCTTCCGAGTTATCAACAAACCATATTCTCAATTATTTTCTATCCACGCTTTCGTAAAAGCCGGGGAAACCACGAAGCAGGTACCACTTGTCTTTTGTGTAATGTCCGGGAAGAGTCAGGACGATTACTACAAGGTAAGATGTGATCTATAAACTCGGAATAAAAAAATGATATAAATATAATCGGAAAAAATGGAGAAATGAATAACCGGAGAAATGAATATAATCGGAGAAATGATTACAATCGGATAAATGAATAAATATAATCAGATAAATGAACGTTTGGTTTATTTATTTTACAGGTTCTCCGGGCAGTGGACAAGATGCTACCAAGCCAGATTGCCTTGGAGGGATTTGTGGTGGATTTTGAGGCGGGGTTATGGCAGGCCCTTAGACGCCGTTTTGTAGATATAAGAATTCAAGGATGCGTGTTTCATTGGACCCAGGCCGTTTTCCGGAAAATTCAAGAAAAGGGATTCCAGGTATGTTGTGCGTTCTTCTTATAATAAATCTTCTTATAGTAAAATAAAAAAATTCTTATTATAATATCTTCTTTTAAAGTACAAGTGCACAAATAGATTTTCAGTATTAATATATTTCTAATATTTTATTATTTCAGACAGCGTACAACGAAAAGGGGGACGTGTTTAATTATTTGAGGCGATTGATGGCTCTCCCTTTCCTGCCCGAAGAACACGTGGCGGGCATGTTTGCCCATTTGAAAGACAGGTGCCCAGAACAGTTAGAGCCGATATGTACATACATAGAAGATCAATGGATTTCATCTCGTCTGTTTCCAATAGAAGATTGGTGCGTGTTTATGTTGCCAGTGAGAACCAATAACGACGTGGAGGGCTGGCACAACAGACTAAATTCCCGTGTCAACGCCAGAGGTCCTGTGCCATTTTATCTATTGATTTGCGCACTTTTTTCAGAAGCTACAAAGATACCACTGGACCTCACAATGATGTCGGAAGGTTCATTGAGACGACACCAAAGACGTCGGTATCGACATGTAGAAGGCCAACTTTTTAATATATGGGATTCATACAATGAAAAACAGATGAGCACTAGTAGACTATTAAAAAAAATAAGTCATTTGTATGGTCCACCCGCTCAGTGAAAAACAATTACATAATTAAAAAAATGAAAAAAAAAAAAAAAAAAAATGAATAGCCGACTAAAGCTATTTTTTCATCAAATAAATACACGTGTTGTTATAAATGTTGCGTTAATGTATGAATGTGTATGTATTTATACAATAAATGAATGTTTTATATGACCGTTGTTATCGCTATATGGTATGTTTAAAAATAAAATAATATGCCCGTTGTTATAAATCGATGTTATCATTTTATGCTATGTTGATAAATAAAATAGTTTATAAAGTAAATTGGCGTCAGTGTGTTGTATAATTCTATCTTACCTACCCGAGTCCGAAACGTCACCTACCCGAGTCCGAAACGTCACCTACCCGAGTCCGAAATGTCACCTACCCGAGTCCGAAATGTCGGGGACATATTTTTTGGAGTCCGAAATGACGTAAGTCCGAAATGACGCGGGACCGAAATGACATGTAATCGTCTCTAATTGTGCTCGTCGATCCTGTATTTATGTTGCCGTTCACCCCGTACATGCGAAACGTCGCCAATGCCAAGTTACATTCAGCCAATAGAAACCGGGTGCGCATAGTTTGGGCTTAACGTCCACTTCAATCGAGGGTGGTATCACAGACATGCGCGGGGGTCTTTCATGTGGGAAGAAACCGAAGTACTCGGACTAACGCTCACACCAGGAATCGAATCCACAACCGCAATCCAGGGGAGACCGGTCAGCTAGCGCCCGAAGTACGACCTCTATACCACTCGGCCATCCCAACCCCAATTCCTTATGGTCTAGCTGATCCACTTTTTTTTATCCCGTGGGCTTAGAGCACCGTGTGGGATTTAGGTGTCTCTCGCGTTCTCTTATTCTGTTCTTTTTATGAAACAGTTAAGTGGGTTGATGGCGATCATCAGTTTATGACCGAAACTTGAAGAACCTCGCTGGAAACCTCGTTATTGTGCTAGATAATTGTTTTGATAATTTGAGTTAGGTTTAATCAATACGTTGTTGGTACTTCACTTCTGTTTATCGTGTGGTGTGTTATGAAAGCTAGGTTCCCACTATCACGATTCGCGCTACGATTGAAATCATGGTTTTAATCGTGGAGTAATCGTCGTGATCCTGTCAGGTCTTATCATATGATCAGTCGTAGCAATCGCGTTGATCCTTTCGAAACATATCCGAACGTATCTGCAGGTAGTAGATCGTGGACTCAATAGGGACAGTCCTATGGTATTACATAGCACGACAGTGGGATACTGGCATTAAGAGATTTGCATTCCCGACTTCTTCTTCAAACCCAATGAAGTTGTTTCAATCAAATTTTATCCGTACGAACACGAGGTGCAAGAAAAAACCCTTTGGATAGGTCCAGGGCTAAAAATGTTTTTTTTACACACGTCTATATTTATTTTGAGATTCTCTATATTCACTTATTGCCAATTTACAATAAAAAGAACAATTTTGTTTTAGAACTTGGGAGAGAAAATCTTGTTTCCATTTTGTCATTTTCGGCTTTTTACCAGGAATTTCTCCTTGTTTTAATCCACGGTTCAAATGATAGTTATTTCTCCTCTCTCTCAATTGTAGCACCTGGAAACGAGAAATAAATATATGTTTTTTGTGAACCACGCTAAGATGTCTAAATCCACATTGTTGTTGGAGAAGATTAGTTATCCCTGGCCTTTGAAGACGCTCAAGATTTAGAAAAATGCTGTGAGAATAAGAGCACGCTAATCTATTCTATTCAAATACATGCAAATTCTTTCACGTCTATATCAAGGGCTACAGGTTTATGTAAGTATGAGGGTATACGAGGTTTAGAAATCTTCTTCTTTTTTTTAAAACTTTATCTATGTTAAGACGTGTGTAAGTATGAGTGTGTAGGGCTTTTATAAATCTTTCATTTTGTTCTCTTTTGTTTTCTTTTTTTTAAACTTTATCTCTTTGTTAAGTTCTGTGTAAGCATCGGAATTCCGCCTCGTAATTCAGGGGGAGTTACTTCAACCCTAAAGACGTCATCTACACTTACTATTTAAAGGCTGAATACCACTCTTGTTGTAACTGAATAATATGTCCTAACCTTTATTCTGGTCAACAAATTGTACTATTTTACAATATTCCAATTAATTGATGATACAAATTTCATCTTAACACACCTAATTTAAAAAATTGGAAAAATTCAACTAAATGATTTGAAAAGCCTGACGTAAAGCTTTTCAAATGTGACTTGGAATTAAAAATATTTTTGAATCCTCTGGACAAGTAAAATAGGATTTAATGGATAATTTATACAACAGGTAGGACACTTACACATCTAGTACTTAGAATAAGGCTATTTTTTTATTTTTGGGAGCTGCCAATCCAGCAAGAGTGTTATTGTCCCTTTAAAGCCAGGATTTTGCTAATTGTCTGAATTATTTTAAGAATTAAACAAAGCTGTTATTTTTTTCTAACTACTGACATAATCTAAACAAATCTCTTGAATTGTTTCCTTGTCCAACCTAATGACCAAAAGTCAGAGTCCGTTAATCCTAAATCAAAGACATGACATTTCTGTCTTCGTTTCGTCAATTGCTCGCACAAACACTACTTTAAAAAAAAACAGGTCTGGAAAAACCATTTCCTTGAAGTCATACGTTAATTCGCACTTTTAAACCCCAAGCCGACACCTACGCCTTCATGTCATGTTTGACATAGCATAGCTAATTGACATAAACTAATTTTAGACATTTCACATCTTCAGTGTCGACAATCAACAGAAACTGTCTTTCTAACAGTTCTAGGGGGAAATCGATTTCTTTTTCATACTTCGTTGTTAATCGCCCTTTTCCGTTAGCGACCTCCATACAAATATTTTATATTCCATTCTGTTTAAAACCCATGTGAAAATTTGTGTGATGAAGTCGAAGGAGGTTTTTAAAAACAAATTATACCGGTGTTATCCAGGATTTAAAAGGGCGTTTAAAAGATTTAAACACCCAAATATCCGAGCGAATATTAAATGCAATCTGAATCAACAGAACAGGATTATCGAACTTTGTTATTTTGATCTTTTATTGAAAACTATAACTAGTAGTTGATTAATAAACTATAACACAACACATGGAAAACAGCTACTGATTTATTTAGGCGACATTTCGAAGAGTATTTTCTCGGTCCATACATTTACTCATAACAACCCAAACATATTTTTATTGGGTTTTTATTCCCTGTTTATGTGCATAAATGATTAATATTCCCTAAACATCTCACTTTTTTCAACAGCCCCTCGCCCAAAAACAACCTGTATGTTTAATAAAATAACTTATTTTCATTGTATCAAAGCAAGAAAGCCAACTCTTATTGTCATCATAGGGGATTCATTTTTTTTCCGTTTTCGATTCCAAACTATGAAAATAAAGAGTAAAATTTAGGGAATATTAATCACCTATACATATAAACAAAGAAAACATCATAGAAATCTAGTGTTTAACAGTAAATACAACTCAACGATCACTTTATATAGTTAATTAATTAAACAATAAGAGTTGTCTTTCTTGCTTCAATCTTTCATTTATTTCCGTTTTTTACTTTTCAGAACTGTTAAAAAAGAGTAAAGTATAGGGAATAGTGATGATGTATGCATATAAAAAGAAAGAAAAACAATAAAAAAATAAGGTGCTGTTTTATTCAAATGATAGGTTGTTTGGGTTTGTTATGGGTAAATCTATAGACCCGTATTTTCTAGACGTTATCATGCTAATATACTGCCACATCTCCATATTGATGACGATAATAATCTTTTAGTGGAATTTATTAAGTATTTGATTGATAATAACAATTCTGGATTTAATATTGTTTTTCTATGAGATATACTGATAAAACCAGCACCTGGTAAAAATGTGGGCCCGAGTTCACAAAGACTTAAGTTAAGAATTTACTCAACTTCCAATCACTGTTTTAGAGAAATATTTTTGATCCAGAAACACAAAACTTTGCACATAGTTTCTTATTGGTGTATTTGATACATTAAAAGAAAAGTTTTATAAATGGATATATTTTAGTTAAAATAAGCCGTACAATTTTGAGTAAATTCTTAACTTAAATCTGACAGTGTGCTGTGGGGAAAATTTTGCTCGGGCAGCTGCACTATGGTCTAATCTTATATTGAATTCCAACAGCCACGGGTTCTTTTATGTGCTCGCCAATGTATACACGGGACCTTGGTTTTTCGTCCCACCCGAACGACTAGACAACTGTTCTTGTCAGGTCCTCCGTTCTGCAACACTAACACGTCGGAAAATCAAGATGAACTTTCTCGGCCAATGCAGGGATCGAACACGCGATCTCTATGCTAGCGAACCAGCGTCTTGCCCACTTAGCCACCGTGGCTCCACAATTCTCCAGCAAGAGCCAACAGAAAGATAATAGTAGTTTCTAGTTTCTTTTGAACGAGAGTCTGTCATTTTACGTTGATTCACCTGTATTGTTTGATTGGCAATGTAGACAAAGATGTCAGGAAATTCTTTTGAATCTGAGTCTGTCGCTTTACGCTTGTTCATCTACATTGTCCAGTTGCAGGGGCTAAGTGACAGGGGCGCAATGACAGGCTTTGCGTCATGGTTTTGAGTTTTTGTGCACGCTTGAGTTTTTACGCGTCCTTGCAAATCGCAAAAATCACACGGTTTCACTGCGGACATTATAATCATAACGCTTAACCAGTATCAAACATATACCATGGTCAGATATGCTACAAATCGACTCTAGCATGTTCCTTACAGCCCAATGTTACTCGGCGATACTGGGGGGAATACCCCCCCCCCTCCTTCCCCGCGCACGCATATAAGTATTGTTTTGGCGGGGGGGGGGGGCGGGATCTTATTCCTCAAGCAAAATTATGGGTCACCACGCTCCTGCCCGGTTGACAATCATTTAATACACTAATCAATAATATGTAGACAGAGGGTGATCAAATCGTGACTTTCCTGTGTAGACGACTTAACAAAGTGCAGAATTAACGATTTAAATGATGTTGAGGTCGAATGTGGTTCCCCGAAAAAACAGACAAAATTATTATCAGAAAACTACACGATTCCAAATATTGAATCAAAGTTCGAAACTATCAATGGGAAGTACTACTTTAACGATTGATACCATGGGGGAAATATAAATTGGTTTGCCGAGAAGTACACAGAAGATATTTAAAGAGACAGGGGCGGATACGGGATTTGTCACGGTTTCAATCTAAAGTTCTGTCGTCCATAGCGATGAATAATTGTTTTAGAGCCTTTTCTAGTGACATTTCGGAGAAAAGGTGCAATTTTAAACATTAAAACAGTGTCTGTTATTTAATTTTATATATTTACGACACCGAGATGTAATAAAAGAAAGATATGAATCTCATGAAGCTTGATAATTACTCAAAACATAATTTTCGGATTAGTAATTTGGATACCATTTCAATTGAAAATGGTAATTCTGATTTTCCTTCTGTTCGGACTGTAAGAAATCGCAGTCTTAAATTTCTCTGCTTTAGCCGGGTCACAACCCCCAGATCCGTGACCATTTCTCGGGGAACAAAGTTTGACGAGGGTTTCTGATAGAAGGGACCCCATTGAAGATATTTATAGTTTGCTACCTCTGAACTCTACGGGCTAACTCCAGGAGAGCCGAAAATCCAAGATGGCGGCCAAAAATGTTCTGAAATTGACATTGACAAACATTTGTTCTTCTATTATAATTATGTTTCTTATATTCCTTATCTGTTGTGCAATAATCACCAAATATACTCTATGTACCTATGTTGGCTATAGCAAGTGATTTGCTTTGCCTTGTAATAAAAACGGGGTTAATCTCGATGTTGCGTTTCTACTGTATTAAAGACACATTGAAAAATAAAAGATTAAAAATGCACACCTTTGCCGCCTCCCTCTGTATCCGCGCCTAGAAGACCACATCACGATTATCAAATATTGATGTTAAATTTAAGAGGTTCCAAACCTTGCCAGATCACAGATGAGTTCAATGGACAACAGATTAACACATTATTTATGTTTATTTATTTAAAGAAGCAACAAATAAAGCCTGATGATGTGTTCCCGATATGTTTAATAAACTAAATTCTAAATAAATAAAATATTTTGGTGTATGCTTGATGGTATGTAGTTTAGATTGTTATGATTTGATTTTATCACGTGACTGACATGACACGGATGCGTGACAGACATTCCATCATTACCCAACTACCAACGTCATGAGTCTCATGACCCTTCTGTATCCGCAACCAGCCGTCATCTTTTATTAAAAGTAAACTCGACCCCTGGAAAAATCCACGGATAAATATTGAAATTGGCCACTGTGCTAGTTTCATTCCGGATATGTGATTTAATGTTGAACAATGTACATGTCAAATGAGTTAGTGGTCTGTGTCCTGTTATTAAACAAGAATGTCTTCACCGGCTAGATGGGTTGTATGTGACATTTTAAATTATGGGATTATGTCGTCTCTAAGGTAGCACGTCATTTCGGTCCCGCGTCATTTCGGACTCAGCACAAACGTCGTTTCGGACTCAGTATGGCGACTTTTCGGACTTACTCGGTGTATATATTAAATATATTGTTAAATGGGTAAATACACAATTTGATGAAGATTATATTGTTTACATAAATTGGTGAAGATTATATTGTTTACATAAATTGATGAAGGCTATATTGTTAAATAGGTAAATACACAAATTGATGAAGATTATATTGTTTGTCGTTTCAGCTGGATGAAGACTTTATTGACAGCAACGCTCCCGGCTTCTACCAGAAGCGGGTT